ATACTAAGCCGCCTCCCCCCATCCTGTATATCCCTCCCCTTTTTTTTTTTTTTTTTTTTTTTTTTTTTTTTTTTTTTTTTTTTTTTGTCGAGCCGAGGCAAAAATATGCAAATTTCTGACGAACGATCACGTAAATAATACGTGTTAACCTTTTCGGGTCTCTTTATTTTTCGATATTGTCCGTTAAAATGTGATTCCTCTCTCGTTACAGAGAGGAGTCGTATTTATTACGCGTAATTCGAATAGAATTTATTATCGACGAATTTTATCAAATTATTAAATTAATGTCAGCCGATTCGATCGACGCGATCGGTGTATTAATATATACAAAAATTCTTGCATTAATTTAGATCAAATCAATTATTTAAGAATTCAAAAAAGAACTTTGTTCAATGAGACTTATTAGTTTGATTGATCAATACTTGTGGAGAAAAACGCGTTTTCTTATGTTCTCTTTCTTGACATATTCTAGAGATATTTTTTGTGCTCTTTAAATTATGGGAGAGAACATCGTTGTCATATCCTAACTAACGAAGGATCAGGACAAAGTCCACCTGTATTTCTCTGTCTCTCTTTCTCTTTTTTTCCTTTTTCTCTCTCTTTCTTTCTGGAGAATGATTCGCGCACTCGAGTTCATCGACGGAAATACATCGCACGAGTCAGAATGTCTTTCCTACGTTCGCTTAAGTAACATACTTTGTCTATATACACATCTCTCTGTATCTTTGACAATAAGAGATTGTATAGATAACTAATTCATCTTTCTATATTCTAGAACAGAAGCATACAGCTAACGCTAATTTGTTTTAATAAAATTATAACTTTTTACTTGAGTCTCTTATAATTTTATTTTTTTTTAATTGTTTTTATTTCGATTTGATACAGATTTAAAATCTTGATGCATTTTTGAATTCTTCTCGATATTGACAGTTCTTGCGATATATCACGCTTCGTCGCTTCTTCAGAAATTGACGAATCTCTCGTAAATCGCTGGTCCAGCCTCGTAGTTTCGGAGTATCGTTAAGACGCATGCTAGAGTTCGTCGCAACGGCCGGTTGTCTGTTGCCTTGAACCGTGACGGTGCGATAAAAACGTCGGCCATTAATTGGTCCGCTTGTACATACACGCGGGATCGTGCACGGATTTACGTAACACGTGAATTCGTGAGGGAAACTCTCGCGGTGTGCGATAACGCGGATATATGTATGCGATACAGACGCGCCGCGCCGGCTCTGTCGCCAACAGCTGATTTTGACAATTTGTTCGTAGACATCAGAAACGCGATAAAATTCTTTCTTTCTCTTTCTCTCTTCTTTTTTCTCTCACCGAATAAACAACATCGCATTAGATCGTTTTCTTCCAAGTAAGTACGTTCGTTCGAATCGCTTATATTGTCATGATTATCACTGGTACAGTGCGTGATAGCCCGAAGATTGCGTTAGAATTCGGTCGAGAAACTTTTCGCGGATTCTGGGGGGACGTACTTTGAGGATCTCTCTTTTGGTGAAGATTCGATTAGAAAACTATCGTTTACACAATCTTGATGGTATACATTCAAGTTCTTTTTTATTTATTTCAAGATTCTTTATTGATATCTCCATGTTATCCATGTTGCAAATTTTAGTTTCGTAATTATTTTATTTGGTATGATTTTATTCTTTAAATATACATATATATTACAAGTGGTGCGCGCAAATATTGTTCTTTTAATCTATTTTTATTTATATTTGCAATGTTTGCTCTTAATTAATTTTATAATTAAAATCGCATTAACTGCATGATCATCAAGGACTTTTCCATTTGTGAAAGTCTAAATTCAAAGAAAGAGATCTCGATCTCTCGCGCTACGAGTTTTTAAGTTTGAGATATTAATGCGCTCTCTTATTACTTTATTAATTTCCGCTTTTCCACGCGCTATATATGAGAAAAAATCGAGGCAAATAGTGCACTTTTTTCGCGAATCTCGGCGAATTTTCAGACTTTTCTGCGACGCATGCTTGCTGATAAGCATCTTTATTGCACACTGGCGCAGAACTCGGCATAATTCATCCAGATTGAGATCTTATTAAGGAAAGAATATCGATTTGCTGAGCATACAATTTTTCCGTGTAGAGCGTAAGTAAATTAATAGAAATTAGAGAGTAGGAATTTACTTTGCAACTTTAGTTTTTATCATCAAAGTTCTTTCATCGTTTTTGGTGGTTTCTCACATTTTAGTGAAAATCTGCCTGTTATTTAAACTTGTCTAGAGTTTCTCTCTCTTTAATATTGATATAAGCTCTACATTAATTAATATTTTTTGTCTCCACAATAATTTTATTATTATATATTAATATTTTGCCTGTATTTCTTTTCATTTTTCGTCCGATAAAAATATTTTATATTTGCATACTATTGAGTGCAAAAGATACGATCACAGCTAAGGAGGACAGATTAACTATTGTATTGATCTTTTTTCTTACAGACGGAATGAAAGACTCGCGATGTGTTCGATCATGTTGGATCGTAAGTGACTGCTCGATCGCGAAATGTTCGAGTGTGCGTGGTGACATCACCTGAATGGGTTACACCTGTGTGGAGCGGCCACCGTGCATTCCACGGGATCGTGGAATGCGCGATAGTCCGCACATTTCCAATTGAAAGGCCTCCAAGAATGTAGCTTCTTAACGGAAAAGAGAAGTCGAGCGCGGTGAGAAGTCTTTACGTCTCTATACAAAATGCATAATAATCTCTTTGTTATGTCTGCATTTCTCTCGTATGATACATAATGTTATTACCGCACAATTTTTGTAAAAAAAAGTCTAAATTTATCACATTATAAGCACTGCGAAGGATAAGTAAAGCAATTTGGAGAAAGATTCTCTAATTTCATGGAAATTAATCTCTTTGAATTATTGTCTTGATCTATATTTATTTTCATCTGAATTAATTTAATTTATCGAATTTTTAATTTTCAGTTTTGAGAGATTATAATTTGATTGGAATTTATTTCAGTCTTAATTGATTTAATTTGATTTTTTCTCAGTCTTTTCTTTTTTAATTATAAGCAAATTAGTGCTTATTATTTTTTCGAATCTATAGTCATTTTTCAAAGATGTATTTTTTACCTTTTATTTTCTCTCAGAAAAAGAATCGACGCTTTATAATTTACATTTGCAATATTCTCGGCCCTTTCAATCTAAACTATATTGGATTCACATTTCAATATCATTTCTAGATTGTATATTCTAACACAAAGCTTTGACTTCGGTCAAGGACAACCGTGAAAAGTTCCGGGATGAATTCTGATTCAAATATTATCGGATCGCCGCGTCACGTGAATCTTTTTAGAGCGAGCGATGCATCCGGATGAAGTCTTCATCGGCCGTGAATCGCGTTGCATTGGGTCGGTGGGACTTTCGTCCGTTTGTAAGACTCGCCAAACAACGATCAACGATCGACATAATATGTGATTTAAAACTTAAGTGATAAGTAATGAGAATGTATCGTTTATTAAAAATTTCGAATTTTTTTTATCTATTTGATTATATAATACATTAATATGTATATATGCATAATTCATAAATTATGTATAAATACGCATTCTATCGAGACAATACATAAATGACAAATCTTGCAAATAATTTTAGAAATTAGTTTCTCGTCTTTTTACTTTGACCTTTAGTATCTGTTAAAACTCAACGACTTCGGGGACGTCACGTGTTTAATAAGCCGCCTTTGTAAGAGAGAAGAGGGAGAGAAAGATCAAGGGAGAACAAGAAAAACGAATTGTAACGACTTATCGCGACCTTTCTCGAGACCGGTATCGCTGTCATGATGGAACGGCTTCGTCGTTCCTATAATACACGCGATTGTCACGCGGTCGACGACTGACGATAAACATACACAGGCAAACAAGAAGATTCGCAATCGAAGCCTCTGTCTGTCGTTGTGGATCGACATTTCGCAGTCATCGCGATCGATTCGACGTGTCTCTTCGAAGAGCCTCTTGGAGTACGTCTCTCTTCGCAGTTCAAGTATCAGTGCGGAGTATTTCCGGTCAATAACGCGAAAATGAGTCAAAAGTCGGTTCCAGCGAAGCTCACAGTCGCCGAATCTTTCGAGAGATCGAAGAATGTTGTATGCGAAATAAAAGAGTGTTGCTTGAAGAAGAAGATAGTACTGAGCGAAATACCGATGGAGAAAACAAAGGAGATTGCAATTAAAGCAACAAAAATACACGAAGCGCAGAAAGCAAAATCTACGAAGGATGATAAATCTGACAAAGCGATTCCTACAAAAGCTCCTGAAGAGAGTCCTATGAAGAATATAAAACTAGCTCAGGCTTCTGAAGCTATGAAAGTGCGCGAAGCGCTGAAGAAAGAATCTCCGAAAGACATTAAGTTAGAAACTCCCGCCGAGATTCCTAAGATTACAAAAATACTCGAAACTTCGAAGACAGAGTATACGAAGAAGGTTAAAGATGACAAATTGACAATTTCTACGAAGGATTCTGCAGAAAGTTATGTTAAAAATACAAAACCAGTTGAGGCACTTGAAGTTATAAAAGCGCACGAGACACTAAAGAAAGAATCTCCAAAGGATATCGAAGATGATCAATTAAAGATCCTCTCTGAACTGAAGTCCCTCACTCTTGAGTCTTTTCAATCCCTCTCACTCTCTACAGAAGTGCTAGAAACACTGAAGACAGAGTCTACTGAGACTGTTAAAGATAATAGTTCGGAAATTTCTTCTGAGGACTCTGAAGAAAGTAATGTCAAGGATATAAAACCAGCTAAAGATGAGAAGAAAACAAAGAAGATTCCCGTTCTTAGAAAGGTTGTATAAGCTTTGTTTGAAATTGTAACGTAATAAAAAAAAACTTAAATAAATAACGACTTAACTGGATTAAAAAAATAAAGATTTAAATAAAAATTTTTGGAGAAATTTTTTAACAACTTATATATATTTATAAAAACATAATTCTTAAATATTTATTTGAGCGTGTCTATAATATTACTTAAGAAAAATACTACTTTAAAAAATATGTTTTGTTAGACATATAAAAAAAATATAAATTATAAAAAATAACTTAAAAATCAAAATAAGTTGAAAGAACTTAGGTTTAAGATTATTTTACTTATTATTTTTAGCAATTATAACTCGTGTAAAAAAAACTTATTATGTATATAAATCACTGTAAAGTTGTTATTAGCTAAAAAAAGTTTTGTTTATATAATTTTATATTTATATTTTTATTTTCTAGCAAGAATATATATATATGCATGCATGCGTGCGTGTATGTATGTGTGTGGAATAAATAATAGATTTTTTATTTAAAAGTTTTAGAATGTAATTAAAGTATGAAAATTGATTAAAATTAAATGACTAATGTAGGACTTGCTCAATCCTTGGGATCTTGGCGCGCGTAAAATTTGGCGGCCCATATCGAAACCGAACTTGGACGAGAGTCCTTTGATCCTGGCAATACATCTAGTGCCTTCATTGCCAATCGAGCTCTTCGAAGTGTTTGCGGAAATTATCGAAGTCGTCACGAAGAAACCGGTCGTTCTGTTGTACGAGACTAGATTTGGACGACCGGTTGCCAAGGATGTCGTCGATATAGGTAAGCAGAAGAGAATATATGAATCTATATAAAATAAGAAACAATATTTCGCGCGTATAAAGACGTCTAGAAGATTTTCATGAAGACACCTAAAATTTGTTTGGTCGAACATTATTTTTGTTCGTAATATTTTCTTTAAACAACATTAAATGCCTCCATGATCTTTGTGATGTTTGATTGCGATGATTCACCATGACATCATCGTGCTTCTCTCACCTCGAGACGGATAATAATATAGAGACTGTCTAACAATACACTTTAAAAGATGTCCAGAGGACATCCACAGGATGTTTTATAGCCCGGGAATAACATGGAAAGCGCGCGCTATGATGTATATTACCTTGTTAGAAAATAATAATAATAGAAGATAGAAATTTTATTACATTTAATTTTTTATTTATTTATTTTTATAGCTATCTTGCCAGCGGCCGATGATTGGAACGATGGTGTTCTTCTACCCGTCAGCTTCGTTTTCGAGCATCATCTGAACAAGAGCAACTCGCCCCACGTTTACGTCGACATAATCCTCGCGGATGATCGCGCTCCACACGTTGAAGTAACTAAACTTTCCGTTGTCGGAAAAATCAGCAAAATATGAAAAAAAAACTTGATAAAAAAATTTGGTTAATTAAATTTATTAGAATAGAAATGTATATATAAGCTAAAACTTTGGAAAAGCTTATGCTATTCATTCTCAAGTTAAAAAAAAAATTATAAGTCAGCAAACGCTTCATTAGAAACCTTTTTTCTCTACAGTAGGGAATTATTATTATATTAGTTTAATTAATTCTATACTATCAATTTTCACAATCTTAATTAACATTGTGTTCCATTATTCTCTTCGCAATTCTCATGATCTGTTTAATTAATATTAAAAATTAATATCACATATATTTAACTTTATATATTAATTTAAAATTAAAGATGAAAAATAAAATATAAAAAGTTTTCTCGCCAGGGCTTAATTTTGTGACATTGTGGTAAGCATCTTCGTTAAAATTGTAGAATATTATGGACCTGCGAGGACACAGATGCGCCATTCCAAACAGATGCGACAAAATCTGCGCCACTTCATTGCTCTTCAATTATTTGCGCACGAGAGGCGAGAACCCGGCGTTTTTCGGAAATATACTTGGTCGGTTTAACAAACATCACATTCATATATTTATTATGATACTTCTTTATTTATCTATCGTATATATTTTCATATTCGTTTATTATCTGTATTCATTTTCGCTAGTCTTCTTAAAAAATTACACATATCAGAAATAAAAAAAGCGACTAAATTAAAATCGAATATTTCTAATGTTTTTAACGAGAATTTTAGCGAAAATAAATATATAAATGACGAACTATGGAAAAATATACAGAATAATAGATACCAAAAAAATGTATTTTCAGCAAGAAAATATTAACTATTAATACATCATCTGTTATATTCTCAATAGAAAAAAGGCGAAATAATTGTAGATCGTATATTTTATCGAGGTTTCACGCATTTCAATTGTATCTTGCAGATGGTAATTCGCAACTTGATGTGTTGCGAATGGTTGTCGGGAAGCCGGCGGAAGTGGGTGTCGTGGATGCACCGGTAATCAGATGTCACAAGATGAACATAATCGGCGCAGAGTTTCTTCAAATCCTTGCCAGTCTGGGACCTCTACCGCCTTATCGCATCATGATCAACAAAGTGCTAGGTATAATATTCCTCTATATATTCACGATAGAGACCCTCAAAATACCAGTATTGGCGTTAGAAGAATTCTTCTAACGCAAATACTGAATCGTTCAATCGTTTTTACGCGACTGAAATAAGAGAGATTAATATAAATAATAAATAAGATTAATATAACGTCTAATTTATGAAGAAGAAATGAAACCTCAAAAACTGAAATCAAAATTTAAAAGAATCTGCAAATATGAAATGAAGATAAATACCATACAATGAAAATAATGAATCCATCTAACGTTTTAAAATCGCAGCAAAAAGAAAAGAGAGACCACGAGTTTCTTTATGATCTTAATTTTATTTTTAATTTCATGCCGCAATAAATTAACGTTCCGTGATTAACTTTTTTCCGTTGTTTATCAGTAGATGTACTCGCCAAAGAGCTCACAACTTATCTGCTAAATATCAATCAGCACAAGGAATGGATGGACAGACTGTCATTCTTCGGCATTGTCGGTTTTGCCGAAAATTCACTAGATTTTTACAACCTGGACGACGTAAAATCCGTAGCTACTAGCGTACCTTACTACTAAGCTTGTTTTATAATACATATTTATTATTTATCTCTCTCCTAGTTTTTATATATACTTTCTTTTATTTGGGTTTTTTTCAATAATATAATCTTTTATTAAATCTAAATAAATATAATAATTCACAATTTTATCCTCGGCGATTATATACACGATTCGTTAAAAAAAAAATCTCTCTCTCTCTCTCGTCTCTCGCTCGCTCACTTATTCTCTTTCATTCTTTTTCTTTTGCCCAATTTCGCTTCCTCTCTCGCGATAGTACACGTTCCGGTCAACTAGATTGATCCACGATCGATACGTATAGAATAAAGTATTATCAAAATCCATTTTGTGTGTAAATTGTATCCACCTTGTTTTTTTAATTAAATAAATTTTTGTAAGTCTTCTTGTCCCTCATTGCAGTTATTATAATTGAATTATATACATCATTATAAAGCGAAAAATCAAGATTTACAATTACAATATTTATTATATAATTCACGAATCATCAAAATATGTTGTAATACATTTTACCAATTTATTTACCAACCAATGTTATTAAATGTGTGATAACATACGACAAAACTAACATATTTCAATATGTTTCGTAGGAAAAAAGTTCACATGATTTTTCGCTTCTGTAATTCCATATGGCTGCAGTGAGAAAATAGAAGTCTTGAAGACTATTAAATTTTTCAAGATGATTGAGACTTTGCTTCAAATAATGCTCGAAGCGACCTGAAACTTTTACGTTCAAAACAATTAAAAAATATTTCTTAACCTAATTTTCTAAACTTGTAATAGCTTCAGCCTACATTTAAGTCACTACGTCGTCGAGAGGATCTAACAGGAGATCATAAAAAGTTAGGCGGAAGCATTCCGTCAGCCGGATGTATAGTGCCAGTTGCCAAAGCATTGCGCAAGAACTCTTCCAGCCGCATCAGAGGTCCACCGCCATCCGCAACATTTCGCATACGCGGATAGTATTGCTCCGATAGCAGTATCAATAATTTGTGAAACTGCGTCGGATAAGCAGTCCATAACACATTACCAGCAACTTCGAGCATATCTAATATTAATGTCGCGCACAAGTCGCAAATATCAGCTCTTGGTTCTGAAAAATGAAGAAACTTTTATTATCACATGTAAAGCGTCATTTTTGTTGCGTTATTTTTCACAGTATATTGACAACAAATTTTTTTTCTTTGCATATTATCAACATTTTTGTTTCATTCTATGCATAACAATATTTTTTATATTTTTATATTTTTGACACAGAATATATCTATGTATAGACAATCTTTATAGATTCCATTTTCAATAAGTTTTTCTTTTTATAATTTTAACAAATACGCGCCTCGATTTCAGAGAATTAATACTTAAATTTAAATAACATCACAATTAATTACGTCACAAAATGTAACATTCTTACCGATATTAAAAACGGCCGCCAACCATCTCCAAGCATGCTGAAGACCATAGGGATGAACTTTGGTGACACCCTTCCGCTGTCTTGTAACGGTAATCGACGCGTACAATCTCATCAAGCCTGACATCCTCTTTAGGAACTTGTCCTGCTTTTCGACAGTGCCGTCCTCAGAATATTTGCAGCCGAGAGATTTGTAGTAATCCTCATTGGATTGACTTTCTTGTTGTGGCAGGAAGATTGGTATAGTGAACGGACACGCCTCGTGAAGACGCGCCAGAAAAAGTTCGCCAAAATCTTCATGCTCGTTCCAGAGTGCTACGACGATCATCGCTACGGGAAATGCCATTTCCGGCTTGCTCGATACCAACGTCTCGCCTTGGCTCTAGAAATTCATATCAAATAAAAACTCATTCTTTAAGATAACAAAACGCTTTCAAGCTAATAACAAAATAATTTACTTATAATTAAAATTAACTTTTCTATTTAAAAAAATTTAATTTTTATCAAATCATGTGATTTTTTTCTTTATTTTTTCTTTTAATTATGATTTTAAGAGATTCCTACAGATACGTACAACTATCTTTTTTGCCATATGATCCTTGCAGAAGATCACTCCTTGCGGATGTTGCGTCACGTTAGGAGATGATTTTCCAATCAGAAGGTTATGCAATCTGTCGTATTTGTCTCTTAAATGTTGCTCGCTAACGCCGGAGATCGCGTTTACCGGAATATTGATTGCCTTCTGACATTCGAAGCGAAACTTCTTCGTAGCAGTCGATTGTAAGAAATCCTTGCAAGTTTTTTTATAAAGATTTAAAAATTGTTGGTTCTTGATGTAAATCTGCAATGACTCCTTATCAACGTACTTGAAAAGATTTCCTGTAAATTTATGACATAAGAAACACATTAATTAATCTCCCTATTTAAACAAAAATTTAAATTTAAATAGATAGAAAATTAGATTAAATTAATATTAGTGAACATACTTTTTAATCAAGATATGTGAAATATGAATTTATAGAATAGAATAAAATATTGTAAACACATATAATATTTAAAATGCATTTTATATACTAAATTGTGTAGATTTTAACATGCCTTCTTTGCATTCAGAATCTGCAGCTGTTTCTTCCGACTTAGGTACAGATGCAGATGGTGTAACTGGTGCATTAACTAATACAGCTACTGCTTCCTGATTTGTTATCACGCTGGAGTTTTGTGCTTTACTATCATTATTCTCTACAGCATAGCTTTCGCCTGGATGCTGAGAAGACACCACATTGCCTCGACGCGAAATCGCTCCCAGACTCTTATCGCGCGCGCGTAATCGCTCTCGGATATCGCG